CATGCTCACTCATACATTCATACGCATACGCGTCTGCATGGCAATGCAGATGAATTGAGAGACTGAGAGCGTGAGAGCGTGAGAGCGAGAGCGAGCACACAAGAGAGTAGGTGGCAGTGACAGTGAGAGCGTGAGCAGCGAACGGCAAGCAGATAATGAAATAGAGAGCGAGAGGGACGACCATAGTGTGATATCCTGTTGCTTGACCTATCTGAGGCGTCCATACACGTTGTCACAGACATGGCCACATTGATAATTCCGTTTCCGCAGCTCGTTTGTCGTATTGCCTGCTTTGAGGCGCTCGCAATGGCAGAACGTGTTAGCTACGTTTTATGGCCTGCAGTCAGTTGTGTGGCTGGCTAGGAGAGTCATGCGGTTTACGTCAGCCGGATGTAGCGCGGGGTCACGAGATATTCTCCACTGGCAAAAGAGGCAAAACTTTGGCTACCAATTGTAAATTCAACTCATTTGTTTTATTCATATTTCGCTTGCAGATGAAGACCAAGCTAATGGGCGATCCAACAACAACTACAATGCGAGCGGATGAGAGACATCGGTCACGTAGCGCCACCAGGTGCCAAGATGCAGGAGGTATGCAGAGGTAACACTAGTACCCGCTGGCGGCTCCAGCACCCGCACCAGCACCAGCATCTGGAACCAAACACAACGAGTGCCTGTTCACTAATTAGCGCGTGCGATGCGCGTAGCTGGGTAAATTAATGGACCCACAGCCCGACCTCACACCACCCCAAGCCTCGCTCAGCCCAGCCGCCTCATCTCCAACACTGCCTGCAATCAGCATTGACTACACGCCTCCAGCTGGAAAATTAAATGTAACCAAGTTTATTTTCTGAAAATGGAAGCACAGCAGTTGGAAAATGTTTGGCCAACAGACAGTCAGTCGCCTTAGTTGGCTATTTAGAAATGTGAGCAAGCAGCGGAAGCAGTACGAGTAATTGACTTTTCTAGATGGGGCGAGTTGAGGAGGAGTCGAGGCTGCTCCCCCTTCTATAAATAGGTCGCGCACGTGTTTCCCTGCAAGGTGCTGCATGGTGCTCTCAGGAACTAATTATTTGCCTGTTTGATGTGAATTTGTCGCCAGCAATTTGTTTATTTATTTCATCATTTTGCTACTTGTAAATAGTCATTATAATTATTATATAAATTCTGTGTAACAATAACAATAACAACAAACACGCAGCGGAGCAGCAGCAACAGCAACAAAATTTTTGTTAATAAATGAAATTTAATAAACAATAATCTTTATTATGAACATTAGTATTTGTGCATTAACTACATTTATAAAACATAGCATACATACACAACCACAAAACAAAAACAAAATTAAAATATTAATTAGTAATTATTATAATGTGATGTTATACATATATAAAAACCAATATACATATATACATATACAGTTAGTAAATGAAACAACTTTAAACAAAATGTTAACCCACAACAGATAGAAAACAAAACAAATAGCAAAAACAATTTTATTAAGTAGATTTTTGAATTACAATTTAATAATAATAATAATATATAATACGTACATTATACATACAAATAAACAACAAATTAAATGCAAATAGAAAAATGAATTAATTATAAACAATATAAACTGAACTCGTCGAAAACCGTAACTAGAATTGTAAATTTTTCATATTTAGCTTGCGATTAACAAAATGTAAATGTTGTGCAAATAATAGGCAATTAGCTATAAATTCAATTGAAATTGAGATTGACATAATGATAACTAATATGGAAACGGAATAACAAATTATTAAGCGTGAGCAGCGAAATTTGGCGTCAAATTTGTCCTTAGAAATATTTGCAATTGTCTTTCATTTAGTTATTATTATATTATTGTGTGTGTGTATATTCTATAAGATCGGTGTGCAATCCGCTGTAGACATTGATTGATTGATTGATTAATTGATTGAATCTATCGATTCATTCAGCTGTACAACTATAAGCTTTAATAGCCTTGTTGATAAACAATTTCCCAATGCACATTTTCTCTCTCCTCTCAACCAAAATCAACTACTTTTGTACATTATTAATGAATATTAACAAATTATTTAATATACATATATATTATATTTAATGCTATAATATATGTATGTACTTATACTGTTAATGGCTATTACATATATACATATTTTAGTTTTCTACGTAAATCGCATTTCTTCCGCTATCACAAAACGAAAAAAAAAAACAAAAAACAAAAAAAAATATTTAAGCAAAATATGAAAGTGAGACAAAAGAAGAGCAAAGAGAAATGTTTAGTTAACAAATACAATTATTTAAATTTGTTTAACTTTATTTTTCTCTTTCTTTAGCCACGCTCAAAACTATGGCGAGCCCAAAAAAAAAGCAAACTCGATCTAAATATTAGTTTCTATTAGTTTCTCGTATTTATATTGTTAATATTAAAAACGTTGCTTAGCTTAAGATTCAATTTGCAATAAAAACAAAAGAAAATATACAGAAATATATTATAGTTAATGTTTTTGTTTTATTTGTGCAATTTTTGTTTGTTTCTCTCAAATTAGTTTTCTTTTTGGACCAGCAAATTATCTGTACAAAAGCAACAATCGAAAAATATTTAACATTAAAATACAAAATGAAAAAAAAAAAAAAAAAAACTAACAAACAATTTAAGCGCAGAAGTTCAATTAATACAAATTAGAATTTTAATATAATTAAATAGTTACACAATTCGATATTTATATGCCGTAAATATAAAAATAAAAAAAAGAGCTAAATACAATTATATGATGTATTTAAAAGCATAGAAAAGTGAGTTTCAAAAAAAAAAAAAAATAAACGAAAAAAAAAAAAAAAGATGAAACATTTTGTTTCAGACTCGTAAAAGAAATTGTGTACTTTAAAATTGAATAAAATTCAAAGAAAATTCTCTAGAGAGAATGCCCAGAGTTAAACAATAGAGTTAAAACAAAGAGCAAAGCAAAAGCAAATCAAACCGCTTGACGCGTCTCCAGGTGGGAGATGAGTCACAGTTTCTGATGGCCTTTATGGCTGGCTGCAACTGGGTTTGCTGCAATTGTTGCATTGATCGATGATGCGAGTTTTTTGATAGTGATCATGACGATGTGTTCGCCCCATAGATGATGCGAGTACGCATTGGGAACAGTTACTCCAACAATAATTCCAGGCATATCGAAGCATTTCAAGCACACTCAAACAGCAATCAGTAATGAAAACGGCAAGAGAACTTGATAAGAGAAAATACAAATGAAAAACTTAAAATTAAATCACAAAATATTATACATACATATATACAAGTTGAACCAGAAGAGGAGAGCAAAGAGGAAGGGAATGAATGCTGCCGCAATAAATGGGAAACTTAAATGAAAAACTTAGCACTTAATATATGTATATGAATGAAACTTGAGCACCTGCTTCTCGGGCGACACCTGATGGGAGGATTGTTAAAAGGCCACGCCCACCGAGAACAGGCACAAGCACACGCACACATACATACGATATAAACGAAATAAGAAATGAGTAAGCAAGATGAAATCGTATATGCATATGCATATGAAGGATATGTATACGTATGTATATGTGTGTGTATATACGTATGTATGTGTATTCAAAAGCAATAATACTGAAAAAAATGAACAAAGTGGAACGCAGTAAAAAACAAAGGACAACAAATAATGAAAACATTAACATGAGCATAAATGAATATTTATATATATTTTAATTGAAGTTACAACATATACCTTATATATTATATATGTATAACTATATTTAGTCCAAATAAATTAATTAGCGAATCGAGCGTTGATGTAATTGCTATGCAAGTGTTTAATATTTACAAAATATTAAAATTAAATTAAAGAAAAAAAAAACAAAAACAACAACAAGAACGAAAATGTGCAATTGAAATGCGTTTGAAACAAAACGTAGAATAGAAACCAATATACGCCAGCAGATATTTATATGTATATATATATATATAAACATACATACATACACATAATATACAATCCTATATATACATATATATCTGAGTGGCGTCAAGACTCAGAAAAAGCGAAAGAAAATCATGTAGTTTCCGTGCACACACCGTAAAGTTTACAACAAATTAAACAACTTTAACATATAGATATATATACGGCACACACATACAGACTTACACACACACACATAGAGATACAAAAACCTAAACATTAAATCAAAACTTAAAAAGAAACTTTAAACTGTACTTATTATAAACAATTATAACAGAAAAAAAAACAAAAACAAAACAAACAAAAAAAAAACAAAAACGGTTCTACTCAAAATCTTTGAGCAAATACTCGATAATTGTTAAAAATGTTTAACTATACTATAACACACTCTACAACAAATATATATGAATATATATATTTAAATAAAGCAAAACGAACCGTGTAAAACTTCATATTAACGAACATACTTACATCTATTATATTTTCTCCTCGTTAGACAATTTAGTTAATTATTAAAAGTAACAAAAAAATCTAATTAAAAAAAACGATTACAATTAAGTGTTAGTCTTATATACATACATAATTATAAAAATAAAAAAAAATGAAAACAAACAAAAAAAAAGGAGAAAACGAGAAACGAGTCAACAAACAATTTCAAGTGCGATAACCAAATCCAAAACAAAATATAAATAAAAACAAAAAAAAAAAGCAGAAAATAAAAATTTTAAATTAAGATTTCAATTGTTTCGCCTTTTGTGTTAAGGAACAACTAAAACAAAAAATTCAATTTGTTTTGTTCTATCATTTTGAATTTTTTGATTGGTCAGACATCAAATGATTTACTAACATTGATTAAAAAATAAAAATTATTAAACAAAAAAAAAAAAAAACGAACGCTGAACATTCTTTTCAATTCCTTAAACGCGGTTGACTGGCTTTCAGGCTTCTATTTAAGGCATTCTATTGTATTATTTTAAGGCTTAAGAACACATATATTAATCCCATTTACCTATGCAGGAGGATAGCTTATCAGTATGGAACCGGACTGCCACTGATATGACCAGTACAACTCGTATCCGTGATACGTTACGCAGGATATTAAATATACCTCTAACAACTGCAATGGAGTATAAGATACACTGTGATAGCCTTAAATACGTTTCAATGTAAGTACGAACAGCCCGAACATCCATTTCGATATTTTCAGCATCTCAAATCCTTCTCAATAATGACTATATAGGCCCGACAGTCGTTGTCGCATACTGAGTAGCTCGTTGTATAATAGAAACTTCAGACATATTAGACATGTCCGATCCTGGCACCGTTAAAAACGAACAATGATGAAGATTATGCATGGGAGACAAGGGGGGACAAGACTGGGCTGGGCTGGGCAAGCAACACTCAAGCTTTGGCAACTTTATTTAATTCTTGAGCTAATTAATTAAACCAAATTTTTCTTTCTTTTATTTCGCAGTAATAAAGGCGCATTGAAAAGCTGAAATTCAATGAATAACTACAAACACAAAACAAAAACAATAAATAAACAAACAGATGATTTAGCCACTAGCAAATGGAGCAGCGTTACCAATACACAACAACAACAACAGCATCAACAACAACAACCACAACAACAGCATCATCAACAACCGAAACACTAGCAAATCCACACACACATACACATCTAACAAGAAGCACAAATTGAACAACATATGGACAACAGCCTCAAATGATGATAATTATTACCCTGCCGATGGCGATGATAATGAAGAGACAAACGATGTACCACATAGCCAAAGTCCTCAATCATTTCTCCCCTCCAGCCCCTTTCAAAAATCAGTATATAGCAACACAGTTTAATATCTAAGCGCGAATGATACAAATCTTTGTATTTTCATCGGGTTTACAAAGTCTATTGTATATATGAAACGCAATGAATATTTTAGTTTTTATGTATAAAGTTTACATTAGCCATTCCCAAGTAAGTCGAAATTTCAATTGAAATCGAAATTCAAATTGTAAGCGGAAATTTTTATCAAAGTTCAACATAAATAATTTACCTTTTTGTATGTTTTGTATACTATGTAATATATCATAATTACCTTTGACCTATTCTTTAATATCTAATGCTACCCAAAAAAAAAAAAAAAAACAATACAAATCCCAAATAACAATTGTGCTAGTACGAATAGTTACAGCTTATTGAGCAGTAGCAGCCTTTTCATAACTTAGCTTATTGCCAAGCTAGGATTAAGATAATAATGATGATGATCATGATCACCATATTACCAGATGCAGCAGCCAGCACCAACAGCTAGGAATTACTATATTTATCTGTTTGATATGATTATTTTTAAATTATGATAACTGAATAATCAAATTGTTTGTTTTTGTTCATCAAGAAATACAAGTTTTTTACATGAAGAAAAGAAAAAACGGAAAAGTAAATATTGAAACGAAAAGAAAAACCAGTTGTTTTACCTACACATATAATTATATGTATATATATTTATACTTGCCTATAATAGTATATGTATATATCTCATATGCCGAAAATCGCCAGCATCACCTATACATTATCCCACTATATATACAATTCTCCCCACAATCACAATCAGACTTTTACAGTACAGTACAACCAACCCAACAGATGCCTAATAAAGGAAACTATTAAAGTTGAAGAAATTATTTTGAAAATAAAATGACTTTTCTAATTCAAAGGTATGAGCACTTGGGATTCATTTTCAATGAACAGGAGAAATTATTATGGATTCAAACAGATGTTTACATTAAAATATAGGAAACATTAACAAGACCTTCAAAAGTAACCACTAAGAGACAGTTTGGCGTTAGTTCAAAATCTAAAAACCCATGGTTAATATCTACAAAATCATAAAACTGTTTATTCTTATTAAAATTGTAGTTGTCTGAAATGATCTGGATTATAAATATCTTATGCATAACTCTACTTAAAATCTGCACGTCACTTGTCTTCGTAGCAAGTTAGATCAATTATGTAGACGTTAGATATGAGACAATCGCCTTCCTGCAAATGCAAAATTTGTATTCATAAATTTGGTAGACATATTAAATTCTACGTACCGCAGGTGTGATGCCGATCAGCGCATCAGCATGACCATAAAACTCCTCCTTCAGGGATATGACAATAGTCTGCAAATTTGTTGTGTGATCTCGAATGTATGAAGCGACTTTGCCAATGTTTGTGTTATCTAAAGCGGCATCAATCTCGTCAAGTACGAAAAATGGCGCTGGATGATAGCTTTAAGGATAAATATGCGTCAGCAATTACTTTCCATCTTTGACATGTATTTATAGACCGCACTTACCTGTGCGTAGAGAAGAGTAGGGCCAGAGCAGCGATTGTCTTTTCTCCACCGCTCAAATTACTCATTGGCTGGAAACGTTTGCCGGGTGCGACACAATTGTAATTAATGCCATCCAAATACGGTTCTTCGGGATTATCAGGCCCTATGTATGCCTGAGCGGCTTCATTGCGAGCCAATTTCTTGTAAATACCATCGATGGCATCGGATATATGCTGACAGCATTGCACGAATCGTGACGAGCGCTCGTTCTTCACTTTTTCGAATGCCGCTTTGGCCTTTTTGGCTTTACGTCTGGCATTCTCGAACTCTTCGTTTGTAGATTGGACTTTCTCCGTAACTAGGTCCAGTTTTTGCATCGCTTTCATATTTGGTGTTTGTATCCGCTCCAGAACATCTAGCTTGCTTTGCAGATCCTTCTGCAACTGTTCATTGGTTTTCTTGAAGGCGGAATCGTCTTTGAGCTTGCATAATTCGCGTGGAAGCGATCGATAGTCAACCTCAATACTAGAGTAGGTTCAAATGTCAATACTTAAATCTGCGACATATAGGCAAATACTTACAGATTATCGTGCATCGTTGATGTCGATGGCTCCACGCTGTCTACATCGCTTTGTCGCACTGCATCATCTAGAGAGCCACGCAACAAGGGCACCGCAATGCAATCAGTCTTTGAAGTAAATAGCATATTTAATACAAGTTACAATCTGTTATTGCCGCCGTACTTACTTTGGCCTGCAATAAAATGTTTTGTCGCTCGTTCTTTTTGGCCTCTATTTTCGATTCAATTGACGACATTTGGCTGCCAATATTGTGTATTTCCTTAGCCAGGTTCGCAACATCTCTACGCGCTTTTGAAATGTCCTCTTCCATGTCATCAACAGCTTGCTTCTTGGCTTGCTTCTCCTGCTTGAACTTTTCCATTTTCTCCTTCTCTTCATCCATTTCCTTTAAATACCGCGCTTCGGCCGCTTTAAGGCCTTCCAATGCATCTTCTTCATCTTGCACGCTGCGCTCCCATCGCTCAACATTCTCTATAAATATGAAATGATGTTTTAAATATTGAATATTAAATACTGTTAGACAATAGCTCACTGCGCGTGTCCTTTTGCTTCTCAAAGTCCAGCTGATTGTTGATTCCATCGATTTGCTGCTCGAACTCGGCACGTTTGCGTGCCCTTTCCTGTTGCATTACCAGCTCACGCTCTTCGTATTGACGAATGTTCTTGACACCTAGTCGCCGACAGAAGTCGGCAAATACTTTGTCCTCCACATTATTCATATTCTCTTTGATTTCTTGTATGTGCTCTTCACGGTCCTGCATCCGGCGCTCGATTTCACTAATCTTGGGCTGTAAGCAGAATAACGGGCTGGAGTAGAGAAGTGTTTAGAAATGCTTTGACTCGGATGTCACTTACCCCGAACTCATCCAGCTGGCTTTGCACCTGTTGCAATTGGTTATCATATTGGCTAATGGACTTCTTTGATGACTCCAAGTCAACCATGCTGTATTTCAGACGATTCTCGAGGCCCTTAATCTGCGATTCAACTGTTGCCAGCTCACTTTGTTTGCGCGACTTTTTCACCAACTCCTTGAGCTCCTCATTAAGACGCTCCTTCTGCATTTTAAGTTGCGCCATGTGCTTTTCGTCCCATCGCTTCGCCTTACGCGCCAAATCATGACTGCCGCCAGAGATGAGACCGGACTTTTGATAGAATGTGCCGTCCAGCGCCAGTGCATCAAAACGTGATCGATCAATTTCGTAGGCTACTTTCATGGCATCCTCTGGCGTTTCACAGACCAGAGCATTGCCAGTGGCAAACAGGACAGCGCGTTCAATTTCTTGTGGCTCGAATTTGAGCACATCGAACACCAGGCGAACATTACGTGGTTCACTGATATTCCGGAGACGCTCTTTTAATGGTTTAACTTGCAGGTAATCCAGTGGCAGGAATGTCTCCACCTCAAGCATTTGCTCTTTCAATATCTGCAAAAGCAAAGGCACTTTAATAAACCAATAGAACTTTGATTTGGCTACACAACTAACCTGAATGCAATGCCGCGCGGTTTTCTCTGTGTCCACAATTATGGCTTCCATAAACTTGCCCAATACCTTTGTGACGGCCACGTTGTAGCGTTTGTGTGTGGGCTGACACATGTTAATCATGCGGTCGTACACACCGGGTACTTGCTTCTTGAAGAGCTCAACCACTTCCTGCTTCTTTTTACGACGGGCATCCTCGTGCTTGTCACTCTTTGCATCGCCCAGCTGATCGCGCACATTCTCAAGCTCACGCTGTTTTTCAGCAATTTTTTCTTTCGAGCTTCCCACATCACGTCGCAGCTCATCCTTTATACGATTCTGTTCTTCCAGTGCCGCTTGAGACGATTTGATATGATCCATCAGTTTATCTCTACGCTTAACTGCTTCTTCGCGCTGCAATGAGAGCTTCTTGTACGATTCCTCCACGGAAGCTCTGCGATTGGTTTCACCATCAAGCATATCCTGTTCGGATTTTTGCTCACGATTAATAGAATCCAGCTCAGAACGATATTGTGTAGCAGTTGCTTCGGCCTCCTGTTTCAGCCGATCATATTCTTGTACGAGACCTTCCTCCATGTTGACGCTTTTGCCACGTCTCTGGGACTCGTTTTCAATCTCATCCTCAAACCGCTTCTTTAATGCCTCGACGTCACTCAATTGCTTTTCCAGCTTTTGTATATCTTGCTGATGTGCATTGTCCGCCTCTCTAGCTGTTTCCAACGTCTTTTGCAGCGATATCAACTTCTTCTTGCAATGTGCCACCTTTTCCTTTGCCTTGATGTACAATGGACGTCGTTTATTAAGCTGAGTCTCAAACTCACGTATCTCCTGATCAATTTTAGCTAAGTCGCGTGTTAATTTGCCAGCTTCCTTTTTCTTCTCGCGGAGCACCTCGTCAGCAGCTTCTTTGCGTTGCTCTACTGCCTTTAGCTCTTGCTGTTTCACTTCCAAGTCAGCAACATACTTCTGTATATCCTTTTCAACGTGAAATAGGCGAAACAATTGATATTCCACTTGTTTTTCGTTCTGCAATTTAATCAAAGAAAATGTGATTAATAACTGTTGAGCAAACAAGAAAACCTAAATCCTACATATTCATCTTGTAATCGTGTATAACGTTCGGCCTCCATTTTCTCATGTTTGGCTTCCTTCCGCTCGGCAGCAATTCCTTTTTTCTTCTGGTACGTAAACTGTGTCTCCTCTTCGGCGACAATCATTTCCTGCTTAAGTCGATTGTAATCATCCTTTAACAGACCCGATCTAAAAATATGCAGAAAATGTATAATCTGAAGCGGAGTTGATATGCTTTGCGGCTTACCCGCTAATTTCTTCGAAAAGAGCCGTTCGCTCCTTGGGCGTCTTCATGGCAATGTTTTCCACGGCGCCTTGGAACACTAAGAAGTTCTTTGCTTTCACATTGATGCCCAGTTTTTCTAGCTTATTAAGGTAAGTATTACTTGAAACGCTCTAGGGATGCAAAGATTAGTTTTTGTTTATAAAACATTTTTGTCCCGCATACCTCGCCATTTATTCGGTACTCCGAGGATCCGCTTATTACGGCGCGTTGAAAATCCATATGCTTCTCTCCATCCAAAATAAATTTGGCCGTCACATAGCAGCTGCGCGCCACTGGCTTGCCAATGGATGAACCGTGTATCAAATCGTTCAGACGCTTTACACGCAGACTCGATGTTTTTTCGCCCATTACGAAACTAATTGCGTCCATGAAATTAGATTTGCCAGAGCCATTGGGTCCAATAACAGCATTAAATTGCTTTAAGGGACCCACAACAATGTGGCCACGGTAGGACTTAAAATTTTCCATTTCAATGAATTGAAGAAATGCAGTTTCTTCTCCCTCTTTGTGTTTAGCTGTAACTAACCCTCTATGTCCCATTTCCTCATCTTCGTCAGCCATTGTTGCTATATTCAAGCGTATACCACAACAATAAGACACACAAAAACTATATTTTTATATTTTTTCCAAGATTTTCTTGCGCCAAGAAGCTTCTTTTTTAGATTGCCATTCACTGCGACGTGACTAAAGTGTTGCAAAGCACAATACCATAATAAAACAACAATCGAGCAATGAACAAAACATATCGATAGCTATCGTCATCATGGTGAGTGCTCCTGCTTACTTTATAACATTTTAATATTCAATAATATTGTTACGAAGTAAAACATGAGCATTTTTATATATAACTATAACTTCAATGAATTATATATGCTGTGTTTAGTTAGTAATCAAGCCCTGTTATTTAAAAATAGTCGCAAACAGCCGAACATAATTTCATAAATAAAAATGTTCTGGTCACTCTATTTGCCAGTAATTTTACCTGTGCGCGCTGCGCATGTGAAGTTTAAATTATACAATTACCACAATAAAAAGTTGTTCTTATTTTTTTTTTAAATAATTAAAGCATTTATTGATAACAATAATTTAACATAAATATATATTCAATCTATGTATGGCTTTAACAGATTCTTTGGTGAGATAATTTCTCTAATAGATCACATAAATAATACTAATTCGGATTAACAGTTTAGTAACTGAGTAGAGATCTAATCAACCTCCTCAATGGTGGGGCCACCGCTACCATTGCAGCCTCTAGCTTGTTGACCACAGTGGGACGCTTGAGGACCATCGCCGCCTCCAGCTGACTGATGCATCTTCGTCATCACAGGACTGCAGACTTTTGTGAGTTCCTGCAGTTTGTATTCGTACTCCTCCTTCTCGGCTGTGGTATTAGCATCGAGCCACTTGATTGCTTCGCTGCACGTGTCCAGCACGGTGCTTCGCTCCGACTGCGAAATCTTGTCTTTAGCGTTCTCGGCAGCCTCCTTCACGCCAAAGATGTAGCTCTCCAGCTGGTTGCGAGCAGCAATCCTCTGGCGATGCTTCTCGTCCTCCTCGGCATACTGCTCGGCCTCGCTCACCATGCGATCGATGTCGGCTTGCGAGAGACGTCCCTTGTCGTTCTTGATGGTTATGTTCTTGGCATTGCCAGTGCTCATCTCCTTGGCTGTCACATTGAGTATGCCGTTGGCGTCCAAATCGAAGGTAACTTCCACCTTTGGCACACCGCGCGGAGCTGGCGGAATGCCGGTCAGATTGAAAGTGCCCAGCACGTTGTTGTCCTTTGTCATGGCGCGCTCGCCCTCAAACACCTGAATTGTCACGGCGGGCTGGTTGTCCGCGTATGTGGTGAAGGTCTTCGACTGCTTGCAAGGAATGCGGCTGTTGCGCTCAATCAGTTTCGTCATTACTCCACCAGCTGTCTCTATGCCCAGTGAGAGCGGCGCGACATCGACCAGCAGCACGTCCTTGATCTGGCTACTCTGGTCTCCACTAAGAATGGCAGCTTGAATGGCGGCTCCGTAGGCCACCGCCTCGTCCGGATTGATAGACAGGTTGAGGCTCTTTCCTGAGAAGAAGTTCTGCAGCAGGCTCTGCACCTTCGGAATACGTGTCGAGCCGCCAACCAAGACGATGTCGTGAATCTGGCTCTTGTCCATCTTGGCATCATTCAGAGCCTTCTCCACAGGCTGCAGTGTGCCGCGGAACAGGTCGGCACACAACTCCTCGAAGCGCGCTCGGCTAACCCTTGTGTAGAAGTCATGGCCCTCAAACAACGCGTCGATCTCGATGGTAGCTTCGGTGCTTGACGACAATGTGCGCTTTGCCCTCTCAGCTGCAGTCCGCAGCCGACGCAGTGCTCGTGGATTGGAGCGCATATCCTTTTTAAACTTGCGCTTAAACTCATCTGCCAAGTGGTTGACTAGTCTGTTGTCGAAGTCCTCTCCGCCCAGATGAGTATCTCCAGCAGTGGCTCTCACTTCRAACAGAGAGCCCTCGTCGATGGTCAGGATTGACACATCGAAGGTGCCGCCACCCAAGTCGAATATTAGAACATTGCGTTCGCCTTTGAGATTCTTGTCCAAGCCATAGGCCAGAGCTGCTGCAGTGGGCTCATTGATGATGCGCAGCACGTTCAGCCCGGCGATGGCACCGGCGTCTTTGGTTGCTTGACGCTGCGAGTCATTGAAGTAGGCAGGCACAGTGATGACGGCGTCTCTGATGGTGGTGCCCAAGTAAGCTTCGGCCGTCTCCTTCATCTTTACCAGAACCATCGAGCTGATCTCCTCCGGCGCAAAGCGCTTCTGTTCGCCTTTGAACTCGACATTTATCTTTGGTTTGCCGCAGTCGTTGACCACTTTGAATGGCCAGTGCTTCATGTCGCCCTGAATCTTCGGATCATCATATTTACGTCCAATCAAACGCTTCGCATCGAATACAGTGTTACTTGGATTCATGGCCACTTGGTTCTTGGCCGCGTCTCCAATCAACCTCTCCGAGTCGGTAAATGCCACRTAGCTGGGCGTGGTGCGGTTGCCCTGGTCGTTGGCTATTATCTCCACCTTGCCGTGCTGGAAAACACCAACACAGGAGTAGGTGGTTCCCAAGTCAATACCAATTGCAGGCATT